AACTAAGCAATTTTGTGTTTACTAGATGTCTAATAAACATTTAAACATATTTTTGCTAAAATCATTGCAAATCTAATAGACATCTATAGCAATAGTCAAAAAATAGACCAGTGATCAAATAGACGGATTAGATTACATGTGTAGTCATTCATTGCTTTCTATTTGATGACTTATCTATTGGACTATTGTTAGACGTCTATTAGATTTTTACATGCAGCTCAAAGTTAGCCTTGTTTTTACCCAGAAGTCAATGTTTAGACATCTGCTAGAATTCTTTTAAACATAAAATTGCTTGCTGTGCATTAAGTGAACTCAGTGAACTCTTTAAGTCCAAGCTGGTCAGCTTTCACACAGTTCTAGAACTAATAATTGTATAGTAATATTATACCCTTTAGATGTTAGAAGTCAGGTAGAGTTTATAAATGTCTTTGAAAGCTGGTTATGCTCATCAAGGCTATGATTTATCAAAAGCATATTGAAAAACTTCTAAAAATATTGAAACTTTAAAAATAATATTATCAATGCTGAAATGTTGAATGTAGTTATTCTAATGACATATCATAATATACTTTGTTTAGAATCCTGGTTCAGAAGTTTAGTCCTTGCAGGCACAGGACATCAAGATGACGCCATATTGACGTTGTACCCCAACTTACCCCAATGTTGTGGGGAGGTTGGATTTTGTTTGGAAAAGAAAATCAGGTTGTTCTTATAACTTAACGTCAGGCCGACATCAATATCCAATGTCCATCCTAAAATTAACCTAATATCAACATAATCTTGTTACACCTTGACGTTGTGTGGATGTTACCACTATGACATCTATCAGACGTTGGATTTTGGTCACTTTTTAACACAACCTGAAATCAACCAAGTATCTAAGTAATTTGACGTTGTTAGGCTATTCGACATCAAAATAACATTGTCCTTAGATGCTGGCTAGACATAACCTAAATCTAACCTAATATTAACGTCTTATGATATTGTGTGCCTGCTGGGGTTAAACAGCATCAAAACAGAAAACATTCCTAAGATATTTTAATCATTAGTTTTGATATTTATCTTTATACTGTCTACATATCTACATATTATTATTTTGATGACACTACAAATTTCAATAGTAAATGTATTTACTAACATGAACTAAGTATGAACAATACTTGTGCCACATATATTATTCATAGTTCAACATTTACTACATTATTAAAATCCAAAGTTGTGTTTGTTAAAATTAGTTAATGCACTGTGAGTTAACAAGATAATGTTAAAACATATTAAAATAAATTAGCTAACGTCAAAGAATTGGTCATTGTTTGTTTATGATTGTAAATATATTACTGATGGAAATTTATCGTGTTCCCATTTCTTTATTATTAACCAAAGTTTTCTAAAATTTAGAATACATACTGTATATATAAGGCCATTTCTTGTTTGTGCATGCCTATTTTCAGTTTTTTTTTATTTTGTAGAACACAAAAAATCCTTAGACATGACAATAATTTTAGCGAAGCATTGACTCTTGTCTAGACCGTGTTGAAGCGTCAGAGTCTGACAGAATAATAAACGGCAGCATTGTCTGTTGACCTCCACATGATCAGCAGAGAGTCGCGAACGGCTCTTAAGCAAACACCCACTGACCGTCCACTTGCTTTCTAACGCAGACACAAACACAGACGGTGTCGTTCTGTCAAGTTTGTTTTGATGAGGCTGCGTACGAGGAGCAGAATAGCTGGGACGGCTGACTTCTGACCCGCGAGCACTGACATCTGCTAGTCATTACAGCAGGCATGCGTGGAAACACAGGCTCAGGCCGGGCCAGAGATGAGGAGGGCCTCTTTTTTTCCCCCTCATGCGTGCTCTCTGTCTCGCTCTCCCTGGGAACACCAGAGGGTCAGAGTCCACAAGCCAGGAATGTGAGCTTACGTCATGCCGACTGTGTTTTTCCCAGGATCAGATTGGTCTGGAGCGCTATGGGGGAGCGAGCCTAACAATGGCTAGGTGATGTCAAAATGACAAATTGATGTTTATATAAACATAAACTAGGGATATCTAAGGCCACATCAGTACATGAGTAAGGGCACAGCTCTTTTTTGTGCTGATTTGAGGTTTAAATGGAACCAGTCTGATCTTTAAACAGAAATCATTTTCAGTTCAGTGGAATATTGTTGGTTTAAGGTGAGAAATATGCTCACCTAGAGTTAAATAGTTGAGTTTTATCTTTTTTTTAAATCCATTCAGCCGATCTCCTGATCTGCCAGAAGCACTTTTAGCTTAGCTTAGCATAAGTCTTTAGCATCTCGCTCAAAACTCATCAAGAGTAAATTTTGTAGAGTAAAAAAGAGATAGATTTCCTATTTCAAGCTTTACTCTTCTGAAGTTATATCGTGTGCTGACCGAAAATGAAAAGTTGCCATTTTTAAGGATGAGGAATTATTCTCTAGGAACAATCTCATTCCACCTCTCATTCCAATAATCAAGGAACTTTGCTGCCATATCATGACTATATTGACCTGAAAAATAGCATTTTTATTTTTATTTTTTAACAGTCTTAGTACATGATGTAGCTACAAAACAGTCTTAAAAAGATTATTTGAACATTTTGTGCAAGATGCTAATGGTCTAATCCAATTCAATGATTTATGCTAAGCTAAGCTAAAAGTGAGATCAGCTAATTCAAATATGGTAAAACTTTTTTTAATTCTTGAAGAGTTGTAAAATGAGCCTTTTAAGCGTTCTTTTAACAGTTAACATGAAATTGTTGAGATCATCTTTTACATTCATTCATGCATTTATTCATTTTCTTTCAGTGTAGTCGCTTTATTCACCAGGAGTCGCCACTGCAGAATGAACCACCAAACTATCCAGCATATGTTTTACACAACAGATGCCCTTCCAGCTGCAACCCAGTACTGGGAAACACTCATACACTCTCAAATTCACACACATACACTAAGTCCATTTTAATTTACTCAATTCACCTATAGTGCATGTCTTTGGACTGTGGAGGAAACCTATGCCAACTCAGGGAGAACATGCAAACTCCTTACAGAAATGCCAACTGACCCAGCCCGGACTCGAACCAGCAACCTTCTTGGTGTGAGGCGAGTTTTTATTTTAACAATGCCAAATCACTTTAAATGAACAGTTCTCAACAAAATTTTAAAAAATCATTACGCCAACATCAAGTGGTTTGAGCAGAAAAGAAGATATTTTGAAGAATGTTGGAACCCAGTAACCACTGACATTCCTAGTAGGAAAAATTGGAGGTCAACAGGTTTCCAAACCTTCTTCAAAATGTATTATTTCGTTTTTAAAACAGGAGAAAGAAACTCATAAAGTTTTGGAACAAAGCAGGGGGAGTTAGTGTTGGCAGAATCTTAATTTTATTTTGATGAGCTTTTCTTTTAAGGCAAGAGTCCAAATTTAGCAAACAAAGCATAACACATTTTAATAGATGTCAATGACTTCACTGCACTGAACAAATGGCTGTGTGGGAAAATGCTTATCACTTTATCTTCAGCAGTTTGTCATAAAACATTCATTTTGGATTGATCTATTTTTAGAGTTTATATAAATATTGTTTTATAAGGTGGTGACACAGCGGCTCAGTGGTTAGCACTGTCGCCTCACAGCAAGAAGGTTGCTGGTTTGAGTCCCGGCTGGGTCACTTTTCCCCACAGCTCACAGACATGCGCTATAGGTAAATTGAATAGTACGAGTGTGACTGTGAGAGTGTACACACTCAGAAATAAAGGTACAAAATCTGTCACTGGTGTGGTACCTTTTGAAAAGGTAAACTTTTTGTACCCTACAGGTGGACATCAGTACCTTTAGGGTACACTTTTGCAATTTTAAGATTCACTTTTATACCATTAAGAGACTCTAAGGTACACATTTTGGGCATTAATATGTACCTTTAATGACCTTTTAGAAAAAAAAATGTACCATTTGAAAAGGTACCGCCAGTGACAGATTTTGTACCTTTATTTCTGAGAGTGTACTGGGTTGCAGCTGGAAGGGCATCCGCTGCGTAAAACATATGCAAACATTTTTTTTCGCAAAGACATAGGGAAAAAAGCTAAACATGTGGAAAAAACATAGGAAGAAAAAAAATGAATAAATTAATAAATTAATAAACAGTTTTATAAGAGAATTCACTGAAAGTTATGTAACAGATTGGGTTTCATTCAATTCAGTCTGTAACCTGAGTGTGCATTATTTTGTTCAGAATAATTATAAATAATTATGTATTATAAATAATTAGCTAAACATATATATATATATATATATATATATATATATATATATATATATATATATATATATATATATATATATATATATATATATATAATTTTTTTTTTTCATTTAATGGTGATTTAATATAAAAACAGGTACACCAGGCTTCCAGTTTTGTCTACTTTTAGCTGTTTTAGCTGCACAAAAATATGTGTGTTATACTGCTGGAAATTGCTATGTGGTGGTAATTATTATATAGTTTATCATTTATTTAGTAGGAAACACACTCTTTCCTCTTTATATACTCCAGACAGTTTCTTATAAACACACTAAAACAATTTTGCAAAGACACAGAATAAATATAATCTTTTAATAAAAGTATAATATATTTATAACAGCACATTAACTGTGTATACGCTTCACAGCAATACCACACTCATTCTGCTGCTTTGGAACAATAATTAATTTGAAAAGCACTACAAATAACTTGAGTTTTATTGAGATACAGATGAAGACCACTTCCATAAATCAACCGTAAATCTTCCAAAATCCTAAGAAACTGAGAATTTTCAAGAGTGTTTTCAACCTTATTTTTCCATAGCTGTAGATGTTGCCATTTATATCATTCTAAATCATTTTAAATCATACACATTTGGGAAAAAAAAGCTTAATATTAGTAAAAGACACACCAGATATCCACAGCTAGTCTGTTTGGTCCATATGGGAATTAATCGGTTGTTTTTGCTTTGTTTGTTTTACAGGTGCATGCTGTGGACTTGGTGCAGTTGTTTTTTACAGTTTCCTCAGGTGTCTTCATACACAATGGTGCACAGAGTACATGTTGAGACATACTTTGGTACTATATGATTCTTTTTAGGTCGTGCTTCATATTTCTACCTTTGTTAAAACAAACTTGTACGCTGTAAAAACAAAATCCACAAATTAGCAGTTTTCCATATTTCCCCCTGTTTATTTATGTTTTTGAATTGCATTATGGGACCTCGATTTTTCTAACAACAACTTTTAACCTAAAGTTTGAAAGTTTTACTTTTATTAACATTTTTATATATTTCAAAGTGTTATATTGTCTGGGTTGGTGTTGTATATTACTGTACAAAACTTTGTAATAAACTGCCAGTAAATTTTCTGTTATTTTATAGACTTATTTCTCCCTATATTATTTTTGCAAATTGACACCAGGAACATTTTTTTTATTATTATTATGTATTAGCGCTGAAAATCTTATTTAATATATTTTTTCAATTGTTTGTTGATTTTTAATTGTATATTTATTATTGAAATGTTCTTGCCATAAAATAGCCTTGACTGCTGACATGTCGTTAAATAAAAAATACATTAAATTAATCTCTTTTTTTTCTTATACATTATTACAAACTATTAAAATGTTAACAAATGTTACGTTGTAAAACTGTAGAGTTGAATTTTCAACCTCAACATTCGACAGAGCGGAAATCAAGGTCTTATAATGCAATTCACAACGGAAAACAAATGGAAAACACTTGTGAATCACAAAATACAGAAACTGTTAGTTAACAGATTTTACAGTGTAAATGATCAAAGCCTGCTGCCTGAAGAACATTTGAACATGTTTGAATGAAAAAGAACAAATTGGATGAAACATAAAAATGTTTTCCTGACTATTGCACTGAAGAGGATACAAAATCACATCTCTTTTTGGAAGCTGATATGATCCTCTGCGTACATCTGATAATGAGGTTTTCGCCACTTTTCGTACTGTCAGAAATACAAAGTGTACACATTTATACCAATAAAGTTAACTTCGAAATTAGAGGGATAGTTCACCTCAAATCTTTTTCTTTACTCACTATTTATTCATTTTATTTTAGGCTTAGTCCCTTTTTTAATCAGAAAGTTGCCACAGCGGAATGAACCGCCAACTTATCCAGCATATGTCTTACGCAGTGGATGTCCTTCCAGCTGCAACCCAGCACTGGGAAACACCTATACACTCTTGCTTCCACACACATACACTACTGCAAATTTAGCTTATTCAATTCACCTGTACCACATGTCTTTGGACTGTGGGGAAAGCATGGGAAGGAAACCCACGCGAACACGTGGAGAACATGCAAACTCCACACAGAATTGCCAACTGACCCAGCTGAGGCTTGAACCAGGGAAATTCTTGCCGTGACACCCACTCACGATTTATTCACTCTCAAATGGTTCCAAACCTTTATAAGTTTCTTTCCTCAGTTGAAAACAAAAGCTGTTTTGAAGAATGCTGTAAACGGGTAACCTTTGACATCAGTAGTACACTTAATGATTTTTGTTAATTACACCGTATTTAACTGTAATGTGAAATGTATTTTACTGTAGGACAGTTATGCAGTATGTTACTGTATTTTAAAGTTACATTGTGAAAATTACTGTATATATACTTTTTATTAAAGATTTACCTACAATTCTGTAAATACATATACAACAAGATAAATGATGCTGTATATGCAAACAATATTTTTGCTGTAATTGATTTACAGCAAGTTACTGGCGAACATCTGCCAGTAAGTTGCTGTAGATTTTACAGGAAATTGTTAACAGTGTAGGAAAAACAAATACTATGGAAGTCAATGATTACTGGTTTCCAGCCGTCTTCAAAATATCTTCTTATGTGTTCAGTTTGAAAAAGAAACTCAAACAGGTTTGGAACAAGGAAAGGGCGAGTAAATTATGACAAAATTCTAAGTTTTGGGTGAACTAGCAATTCTTTACACTTTTAAGTACTAATAAATACACATATATTACTAATAATATGTACAATAGGTTCAAATGTGTACCTTTTGAAAAGGTTATTTCTGACATGGGGTACCTAACATTATTATAAATCACATTATTACTTTACTGTGTCATAATGGTTCTTAAATGCAAGTGCTGCCACAAAACCTTTTCATTAAATGTGGTTAATCATTTCATTTTGATTATAAAGACACTGTTAAACTTAATACATTCTATTACACTTTTATTTTTACATTTCATATTTCAGTTTTACAAATGTGTGTACACAGTGACAACTTTTGTGTTTTTAGGGTACTTACAATGTATATATTGCTGTTTAAATCACCTGATCATTTTTTGAAAACACACCAACACACTTCCTGCTATGTAATCCTTTTTTATATTAAAAGAGGAACAATTGTCATCGTTGTTGTTATTTTGAGTACAGCTTTATTAGTGACTTTTATGCTCTCCACAAGGCATAGTTTTACTTTTTAATGAACTGTTTTCTTTTTAATATAAAATGTAATTAATCCATGTGATGGCAAATTTTATTCAATCTTATAAGCCTTCATGATCCCTGATGATTTGGTGCTGAAGGAAAATATATAATTAAACTTAAAAATATTTTTACTTTAAATTTTACGTTGTATCAAATATGAGCTATTTTAACTGAAATGACAATCAACTGTTAAAAACATTCGTAACTTAAGTTATGATTAACATAAAACATACATTCAAAAAAGTATCAAAATACCAATGAGCTGAAACAACACAATATTTGAGATTTTATTGTGACAAGTTAATTTTTTATGTTCAATCCACATAAATTTGTTAAAAGTGTTAACTTAATGGTGTTGGGACAACATGAATGAAATGTGTGAATTTTTAACAGTGTACACTAAAAAATGCTGGGTTCCAAACGATCGATTTGTGGGACAACATGAAAAAATTACATTTTTACAAATGTAAGTAGACTGAACACAAAACAATTAGGTTGTCCCAACAAAAAAACTCATGAGTTGTGTTGTTTTGGCTCATTTTAAATAAGTAATCTGAACAAACCGCAAACTTCATTTTTTGAGTGTACACTGTAAAAATGCTATGTTCTAAACAGATTTTTTCATGTTGTCCTAACACAAATCGATTAAGTTAACTTAACAGTTTTTTTTACAAAATTGTATGGATTCAACATAAAACAACTAGTGTTACGACCCTGGTCTAGTGTCAAAGACGTAACATAAAAGAATAATGGACAAATAAAATCACTTCTATGAGCCCTTGGAGTCTTTTTTTTTTTGTCTTTTTTTGTCTTTTTCCTTTTTTAAACACTCAAAACTTAAAGCCAAATACCTCCGATAGGACCCACAGAAAAATAACAAACAAAAAATATATATCCCCTACCTAATGACCTAAATGAAACTAAATACATCTAACAAAATAACAGAAATAAAAATACAAAAACTGCTCCTTTCTCTCTGACTATACATAATAATAAGAGAAAATATCTACAGAAAAGAAAAGTGTGGCGTCTTTGTATGTTACCGTGTATATACAAAGTACAATATTTACAATTACAACAAACAAACCAAAAACAAAATTACAAGAGGGGGGAAAACACGATTGTTCAAAACAACTTAAGAATTGTGCTGTTTTGACTATTGTTGTTATGATCATATCATCTATTGCAATATATTATAATGATCGTTGAAAACAGCTGTACTGCTTGACATTTCTGACTAAGCCATGCTATTTTTCAGGATTCATTGATAAATAAATTGTTAGAGAAGAGTGTGTATTTGAAAACAATTCATTATTTAAAAGTAATTCACAACTCTTAAAAATAAATGTTTTTATTTGTATTGATGGTTGAAGAACTGTTAGCATTCATGGAACCTCGGAATCTGTATAGAAAACAAGGTTATTTACATTAATAAAATGTTCCTCACAATATGAATAATGACCTTTAAGGACTTTTATTCTTGAAAGTTTCTTTGTTGAAGCTAAAAATAAAATAAAAAAAATAATCTATGCCAAAACTTTTTTGTTTTATTTTTTTATCTAATATATTAGTACTCATTCATTCATTTTCCTTTGACTTACTCCCTTTATTCATCAGGGGTCACTACAGTGGAATGAAGCGCTAACTTATCCAGCATATGTTTTACACAGCAGGTACTCTTTTGGCTGCAACCCAATACTGGGAAACATCCATACACACTCATTCACAAACATTTATTCATTCATTTTCCTTAGGCATACTCCCTTTATTCATCAGGGATCGCCAGTGGACTAAACCACCAACTTATCCAGCATATGTTTTACACAGTGGATGAACTTCCATCCACAACTCAGTACTTAGTAAGATCCATACACCCTCATTTATTCATTTTCCTTCAGCATTGTCCCTTTATTTATCAGGGATCGCCACAGTGAAATAAACCGCCAATTTATCCAGCATATTTTTTACGCAGCGGATGCCCTTTCAGCTGCAATCCAGTACTGGGAGACATTCATACATATTCATTTATTCATTTTCTTTCTGCTTAGTCCCTTTATTCATCAGGGGTTGCCACAGAGGAATGAACTGCCAACTTATCCAGCATATGTTTTACTCAGCTGATGCCCTTCCAGCTGCAACCCAGTACTGGGAAACATCCATACACACTCATTCACACACATTCGTTCATTCATTTTCATTGTTGTCCCTTTTTTTTTATCAGGGGTCTCCACAGTGGAATGAACCGCGACTTATCCAGCATATGTTTTACACAGCATATGCCCACAGGAAGAACATGCAAACTATACACAGAAATGCCAACTGAAAAAGCAGGAACTCATACCAGCGACCTTTTTGCTGTGAGGCGACAGTGCTAACCACTGAGCCAACGTGTTCCCCTTAAATTAGTACTATATATTATGTATTATAATATATTATTCCTTCCAAAACAATACAATAAACTGAGCAACTGAAAAAATAAGAGTATAAAAAAGTCATTTATAAGACTGTGAATACACTCGACAACACACTGCAATTCTATCTTACACATGTAAACATGAAAAATGACATGAACAAACCAGCTTTGACAATTTATTGAACGTTTTGCATATGAACTTTCTGTGATCTACAGAGTTTATGGTGCCCCAGTGACTGTGTAATTCAATAAAGTGATCATTCTTTTGGCCTCGCACGCTGCTTCTTCTAAACACGTTGTCAAAGGTCTGGTGGAATATGATGGGAATAAGAGAGAACAGTGTTTACCTTTGAGTGGGGCTTGGAACAAAACAGAACTTTAGGCAAGCACAGTCCTGCTGTCATGAGGCGCAGCAGAACCCATGCACTAGTGGAACAGTGGTGGAAAACAACACCAGATGGAACTCATTAGATTCTTTTTTTTTTTCTTCCTTCTCCTCCAGTCTTCTTGTCTGGTCTGTTTGATTTTAAAACCCTGTTGATCGGAGTATTCCGTGCAGATGCATTTGCGTCTTAAATGAGTCGTTTGTACTCATGCATTAATCATTGCGTATTACAGATTGTTTTGTTAGTTGTCTGCGAACTCTTGATGTTATATTTATAGTGTGCTCTTAGATTGTTGGGATTTGCGCAGCATTTTTGTGCTTTAGGTTTATAAACATCATAAAGTATAAAATCAGACTGCAACAAATATTTTTATCTAACAATGTGTATTGGTTTTAATTTTTATTTTAGTTTAATATTATTTAACATTAATATTATTTTAGCTAAGGTCAATATTGTTATCCCTCTTAAGAAATTATTCTACAATTTTTTGATTAGCTATAGAACAAATCACTGTTGTCCAGTGACTTGCCTAATTAACATAAGCCCATTTAACATACCCTAATTAAAAAAGTCTGACATTTTGTCACATATTTCTTATTATATTTTCCCCTCAGAAAAAAACTATTTTATTTATTTATTTGGTTTACTATTATTTTAGCATTAATATTATATTTTATGTCCTTTGCTATGTAAAACATGTGCTGGATAAGTTGTTGGTTCATTCCGCTGTGGCGTCCCTTGATGAATAAACGAAATATACAATATGCTTATGTATATATATATATATATATATATATATATATATATATATATATATATATATATATATATATATATATATATATATATTCATGCTTCAGAGGTCAACATAGTGGAATGAACCACCAACTATTCTAGCATATGTTTTACGCAGCAGATGCCCTTCCAGCTGCAACACAGCACTGGGAAACATACAGTATACACTGCAGACAGTTTAGTTTATTCAATTCACCTATAGCACGCGTTTGGACTGTGAGGGAAACCGAAGCACCCGGAGGAAACCCACACCAACATGGGAGAACATGCAAACTCCCCACAAAAATGCCAGCTGGGACTCAAACCAGTGACCTTCTTGCTGTAAGGCGACAGTGCTAACTATTGTGTCGCTGCATACATTATATGACACAAAAAACAAATAATAAAAACTTTTAAAAGAGTAAATGATTACAACACAATTGAAACTTGTCATCATCATCATCATAAGAATTTAAATAATAAAAAATGTTCCTGACAAAAAAAAAGAAAGAAAGATTAAAAAATAAAATAAAATAAAAAATTATAATATTACAAGTAAAGAATGAAACTGAAATACAATGCTGGAGGATTTTTTCGGCTAAAATCCATTTAAGCTTTGGTTGGCACTACTGCTGTGTCTAAATGCTTTTCAGAAATATACGTACATTCTGGACAAATACAGTTAGATCAATAATGATGCGCTGAAATGACAGAACACAATTTAAAAGAAGAAGAACAACAACAACAACAAGAACAAAAACAAAATGAATATTATTATTAATAGACTCTTTTAACAAGACTGTTATGACTCGTTTAAGGGTCATCATATTCTTAAATCCTTGAACATTTTTTATTGTTTGATTTAAAAAAACATTTATATGCATTCATAAAATGATTGTATCATATTTGCGTCAAATTACAAAAAACAAATTACCGCTTATGCAAGATGGTATTCTCATCAGTCTCACACTAATTTCCCCCTTTTTCTGACAGTCTTGATAACACCATTGTGACATTTTTCTTTTAATATTTCGGTCACACTTTACAATAAGGTTCATTAATTAATGTTAATTAGTGCATTTACTAACATGAACAAACAATGAAAAATACATTTACTACTGTATTTGTTCATGTTAGTTAACGTTAGTTAATGAAAATACAGTTGCTCATTGTTAGTTCATGTTAACACATGGTGCATTAACTAATGTTAACAAGAATGGACTTGAATGTTATTAATGCATTAGTAAATGTTCAATTATGATTAATAAATGCTGTACATGTGTTGTTCATGATTAGTTCATGTTAGTAAATGCATTAACTAATGAACCTTATTGTAAAGTGCTACCAAT